AAAATCCAAAAATGAACTCCAGAGAAGTGCAAAGGACTCATTGAATAAGTGTACAGAAAATAAGCTTAAAATGGCTACAGTGGGAATTTTGTACCTCTTTTCTCTAAGTTATTGTTAACTACAAAAGCGAAATTCATCCTGGCACCCGATGATCGCATCATATGAAATCCAGAAACACTGATCGAAACAAAACGCAGCTGCTAAGAGCTATTTCGTCACTAAAAGGCTTGTGATTTCACGTTTCAATCTATGCATCGGCTGATCAGGCCTAATCTTCTGCATGAGCAAAATTTTAACATCTTAACATCTGTGCGGATGCTGAAAGCTTGATGGGACTACTTCTTGCGCTGTGGCGGATGCTGCTAGTCGTACCAGATTCCATTCAAGATGATCTTGGGCACGCGTTTACCTCAGAATGATGTGCATTATTTTTTGCACAATCAGATGCCTAGTTATGCATGAAAATAGCCAAGCTATCAAGCTTGCTGACCTCATGAGCTTCTCATTTAACTAGATTTATCCAGCTATAATTTTGTACCAATGTTGTAAGCCGAAGATGATGAGTTTTGCAAGTGGTGTGCTCGGTTTCAAATCATGAAATTCATCAAAAACATGCATCATGTGCGAATGATCAAAAAATGCACATTGTCCACAAGGATAACTCCACCAGGTCGTACGAGCTTTACAGCTTTCTCGTAGTACTGTGGATAATTAAATTTGTCTGCATCAATAAATACGAAATCCCATTTGCCTGCATCTCCAGCAGCTAACATTGTTTCTAAATTTTCATAACTGAGCTCAAGTTTTTTTTTGAAGAGGGGGTCATTAAGGTAGCAATTCATGAAAGTTGACTGCCGGTTCATTAAAAAAAAGCATCTAAATTTCTACAGGTTTCTGTTTGATATTTCGAAATTAACGGAGAGCTTCATGCGAAGTTAACTGGCAAAATCCTTAATACACTTACCCAGTTTTGCAAGAGCTGGGCCTACATGCCGTTTGA